TACAAACATTCTGACAGTCAGATAGTATAGCTATCCTGTATACCCTTGCTCGTAAGCCCAAGAGAGGGCTTCCTTTACTGCCATAGCCTCAGCCAAATGAGCGTCATTTAAGCAACGCAGCTTCCCATTCTTCGCTCCCAAGAACGATAAACCATTTCCATTAGTAGCCACCACACCATAATACGCCTCTCCATCTTCCTGGAACACCGCCGCATCAACGGACAAAATTACTTCTTTAAAAAAAAAAAACAGTTAACTGTTTTCTTCTTTCTTTCTTTAAAAAAAAAAAAACAGTTGTTAGATGGAAAACGTAAAACATATTAAGCATATCTAATTTGAAAAATGATAAATGAAATATTTAAATCCCTTGTCACTATATTAGCATCAACATCTTTCCAGAATAGTTAGAATACAAAATAAGTACACCATTATAGCAATAAGATAGCAAAACACAAAAAGGTAAAGCATTCAACATCCAAACTCCAAAATACTTTTCATAAGATACTGACTATCCTAAGTACTAATGAGCATCCAAAATTCTAGCAATGCACATAAAATCTGCACTTCAATATTATAACATTCTAACATTTTCAAAAAAAAACCTGCACTTCAAATATGGACTTCACAGCTTGCCCCTAGCCACAATACCTGTGTTCTTCCTTCCCCGATAAATTACATGTTCTCCTGGTTGTCCGGGCTACATAATACAATGAACAAATCAAATCCCAAACATGTTTAGGTCATAACAATTATATTATAATATTAGAATGCTTAGTTGAAATATTTCATAAAAAATGACTTACATTAAATATGGTTGTTCCAGTATTAGGATTTGTGTAAATACCCAATCCACCACCAGAAGACCTAGAAGTTGATGTTGTGCCTGTAGTAGTAGGGGGTGGACCTTGACCTCTAGTACTTGGACAATTTGTTTTTGAATGACCTTGTTGTTTGCATATAGAACATGTCATAATCCTGTCTTGTCGTGACATCTTTTCAACAGGAGGCTCATTAGCCTCACGAGTTCTTTTCTTCTTTGGCCTATCCGTCATCGTCCTCGGTACAGGGGCTTGGATTTCTTCAGCATTAGTTTTAGGCCAACTAAGTTCTCCATTCAAAGGTTGAATTGTGTAGCTATAGATTTTTTTGTAAACTTCTTTGGAGTAGCAATCATTAATGAATTCTTCTAGGTCTCTATCCTTATCAAAAATTGCACACAAAGCATGAGGGCAGGGTATACCAGTTAGATCCCAACTTCTACATGAACAACTTCTTCCTTGTAACTTAACTTTAAATTGTTGTCTCCCTTTCTTGATCTCATAACCATCATCTCCATTGAAGTCAACGTGCCACCCAATGCTCTCCATTATGTTTGCATTAAGTTTTTTCATCACTCATGGTCCAAAGTTCCCTGGCCATTTTTGCAAAGCTTGTCTTTTGGTTGCAATTTTTGTCATCATGACAACTCTTATATCCTCTAACAATGGGATGATTGGCTTTGACAATTGTTCCATTGAATGCTTCACACATATTATTGTCAATTGAATTACACTTTGATTCTGGCCTAATGAATGCTTTACACCAATATTTAGCAAGATAATTGGACAAATTATCTCTAGCTTGGACATCATTCTTCTCCAATTGCTCAATCGTGAATTTGAATTGGTCCTCAGTTGTTGAGTTAGCACACATCCAAAATAATCTCTTTAACACCTTGCCTCTATGTTTCTTGCTCCAATTTGTGAATATGTCTAGCGCAATTTATATGTTCTGCATTAGGAAGCAATTGTTGAATGGCACTAACCAAACCCTACAAAACCAGAAACAAATAAAAAAAAAATATTACAGAGTGTAAGAAAGCAGCAGTAAAAGCATCATATTAATTAGAAAGGAGTAATAGTATTAATATTAGAAAGTAGTAAAGACATCATATTATTAAACAAAACCATTATTAATAGTTTTAGTATTAGAAGTAATAAAAAAGAAGAAGTAGTATAGTATTATTAGCAATGCAGAATAATCAGTAAAAAAAATAATAGAAGTATAGAAATATTAGGGGTTGTTTACTAACATGGAAAAATGGAGGATTTTTTTTTTAAAAAAAATTGAGAATTGAAGAAGTGAAGGAATGGAAAATGAAAAACTTGTTTACTAAAATAATATTTCCAATTGCCTAACTCCTCTCCATTCTCCAACTCATGTACAAATTTGGAGAAAGCCTTTTAAGACTTCTCCAAATGGAAGAATGGAGTAATTGTGGGTGAACAATGCTAGCTTTGTAGAAGGTTGACAGTTTGAATCCTGCTGTGTGCGCTTGTTTTAGTTTTTATTTTTACTTCAGCCCTTGCGCCATCATTATTAATTATTATTATTATTATTATTATTATTATTATTATTATTATTATTATTATTATTATTATTATTATTATTATTATTATTATTATTATTATTATCTTTGTTGTAGAAATGTAAAAATGTTATATGGGATGATTGTATTTAATAAAATCAAAAAATTAGAGAAATGAAGAACTAGAGGAATGGGGAATGAAAATTGAAAAATTGGAGAAATGAAAAACTGGAAGAATGGAGAAGGAAAACTAGAGAAATGAAGAAATGAAAAACTGAAAATGAAAAAACAGAGAAACGAAGTAAACGACCCCTAGATCATTTTCTTCCATGCCTGACATCATTTTCTTCCATGTTAAGATCCTCTTTTGATGCATCCAACCCAACATCTAACCAAGAATTATTTCCAATCTCATTATCTTGTGTAACCCATCCATTATCATCCTCACCATGTTCACTATCCATCTCATATTCAGCTTCATAATTAATTTCAAAATCATCTTCAAGTGGAACCTCAACTACATGATCCATCTCCTGACCTTGATCCACATTCTTAGCTACATGTCCTTCATAAACATTCTTAGGTACAAGTAATAACAATTCTGGAATCACTTTAAGTTCATCAATTCCATGATGTACGTAGATGTCACATTTCTTCCATTTTGTTGCCAAACTAATGAGGTCCAAAGTACTGTCATCATTCCACGGAACTTTGAGTTGTCTTAGAGGCTCATGGGTTGCTTTGTAGTATAAACTTTGCATATTTCCATACTACCCATCTTTTATATATTTTGCTAAATTGGGATATGAAATAAGATCTGAGTCAATTTGTATCCTATTTCTTTAAATGAATGAATGTTCTTCCAGCTTAAAAGAAAAAATTAATATTTCTTTAAATGCATACAATTTGAAGTATCATATGTCTAATCTAGACATAACAGATGCGGATCTAGTAAGTTCTATTAACCACATACAATTTTTATTTATCATTCAAAACATTAGTAACACTTTTTTTTTTCTTTTTTGAAATTAAACGTTCTTCACAATGCTTCGACATGGACACTACTTATGCATTAATGTTAGGGAATCTAAGGTGGAAATCATAGACAACAGAACCCTTCCATAGGATCTTAAAGTCAGTGACAAATACGAAGACTATATAAAAACCTTGGTAAGTTGACCAACATAAACTTGAACTTCTTTTGAATTATTATATATACAAACTTTAAGGCATTAGATACACTACAATATTTGTGCCTAGGTTACTGCATTCAAAGAATACTTGGCAAAGGAAAGCAATCAACTATATTTTGAAAACTGGAAAACCTTATTGAAGAGCTCGTCAAAATGACTTGGAGAACAAATGACAACACTATTGACTATGACATATACATCATGAGGTAAATGGAGACATATAAAAGTAGCATGACCAAATGGGTCTCCAAATTAAAAAGAACACCCTTAGATGTAAGAGTAAAGAAATATTATTTTTAAATTGTAAGTTTTTATGTTTTTGCAGCAAAATTTTATAAATGAGTTGAGAGTCAAGTATACTTCAAATATAATCATGTGGAGCGTCAACAGTGTGAAAGAGAGTGTTGTAAGAGCAGCGAAGCAGCTATACAACAAGAAATGGACTTTGTTGAATGTTGGATGATAACTATGTTTTCATGAAGCTAACACAAATCTGATCTACTTAAACCAGGGTGGGCAACAAAACTAAATTACAATTCTACATATTTAAATTGTGAACATTAAGCTTGCTAATTGTAAACATTGAGTTTGCAAACTTTTTTTAATACAATAATTGTGAACATATAATTTTCCTCATGTAGACTCTAAAACTAAAAAATGTAAATAATACAAATTGTGAATGTTTAGAGCATTTATTATGAACATTAAACATAAAATTGTGAACAAAAAATAGTGGAATATCAAAACCTAACCCTAAACACTAAACCTCTAAAAACTAACCCTAGATCCCTAACCCCTAAAACCTAAATTCTGAACCTAACTCTTAAACCCTAAACTCCAAACCCTAAAATTTCTACGTCATCCATACGTAATCGTAATTGTGAATTTTTAAAACCAGCACATTACCAATTTACCATCATCACAATTCATAAGCTCTGAAAGACACAAAATTGGTACAATACCATCAAAAGGAAAAAAAATAAAAAAAAATCATCAGAACTAAGCAATTTACATCATCAAAGTGTAAACGTAATTGTGAATTTTAAATCATAAATTATGAATAAGAAACATATGGATTGTGAACATAAAACATGGGAGCACTATATACTACACCCTACACACTTAAAACCTAAAAGCCAAAATCTGTGTAATAAATTAAAAATTTTAAAAATGGATATGACCATGAAATATAGAAATTGAGCATATAAAACAGCATAAAACTATCTATCTAAAACCTTAAAGTTTAACAAATGTGTAGTTAAATTTCTTAATTTATGACAAACTATACATAAATACAAAATATATTATGTATTTAAAAGTTTGGTATTATGAACATGAAACATAGAAACTATGAACCCTAAAGAAAGTGCCACCGATAATAGAAAAACTATAAAATAAATACAAAAAGGTTCACAACATCTAAGTATAAAATAGATTGTAAGTTCACAACGAATATCATATACTGCCAAAAAACAATTATAAAATGTTAATGTATTTAAAACTTAAGGTTCATAAGCTCAATTGTATAAACATAATGTCAATCTACAACTACATGGTCATCTGAAATCTAATTTAAATGAACTAACTGTGAACTCCCAAAACTTGGATGTACAAGATATTCATCCCCAGCAATCTCGAACAGACTTTCCAAAACTAAAAGATTGAACAGCACCATTCGTATTTGTAGCAACCGTATTTGCATAACTCCTTAACCCTCTTGCTAGAGTATATTTCATCTAAATAATACTACTCCACCTTTTACTCACCTTTCAATCTCTGGCTTGAAAGATTTTATACAATGTCATTTGAAGATGAAACAACAAACTCTTCAATATGCACACAACCAACCTCAGCTTCAATTCTTCTCTTTGCATTTTCAAAAGCTTCCTCACAAATCTGTCTAGCTACATTGTTGTCTTGACAAGAAACAATCAATCTTTGAAATTTTCTAGTCATTTCAACAGCCCAAATGGAAGAAGCAACACCAACAGATGGAGACCCCTCTGATTGTTGTTTCAAAAGCCTAATATCATCCGCCAATGCAACTTCACTCTTCAAATCATTTAAACATAAAAATTGATTCTTCACCACTCTTCTATGTGAACGAAGTAGATGACTCTTGTCTGAAGGGCATAACTCATGATTATGTCCTTTCTCATGTTTCGTAACTGTCCATACCCCATTCCCATCTACATCAAACTGAACTGACGCACCACATCCCGTCCTCAAATCCATTTTTGAATAAGACTTAACACCATGGACCTTAACCTTATGACCAGCCTTAGAACATAAAAATTTCTTCATTTTAACTGTTTTAGTAGAACCCTTATAACATTGCTTACCCTTCCTCACACTAAAACCAACTCTATAAGCATAATCGTTATACAACTCGTAAGCTTCATCAACATTGCTTACTGAAACACCCACCAAATCTTGATCGACTGCAAATATAAAATATAATTTTAGATATAACGAAATATAACCACCAAAAAAGTTAAAATCAATTTGATGAAAATATAATTTCTAAGTGGGAGGAAAATGGGAATTGCCGAATAAATCCAGCCATGCTATACAAAAGAATCACAGTTCCATCAAATTGACACAACTAATAAAAATGAGCAGATAAATATAAAATATGTTCACCACAACTCTGCTACATATACATAAAATCAATTTAGAATACTCACAAAATTAATGCTAAAAATACACAAAACACACCCATAATGGCATAACAAAACATAACCAAACAAAAACCGTAAAAGATATTGACAAATACACTTCACTTCAACTATGTTACAGAATCACAAACATAGTGTTTAATGTTCATAATAATACATAATATATATATATATATATATATATATATATATATATATATATATATATATATATATATATATATATTAGAAAAAAGAATACAAAAACATAAGAAAATGAATCAAACAATTCAACCAAATATATAAAAGTAGAAAACCATCAAATACAAATTTACCAAAATCACATACATTGTCAATAATCAATGTAAGTCACAAATTCAAGTATTGAAAACACCAACATGAATAAATCATAATTTTAACAGCAAATTCGAGGCACTAACAACACAAATATAAAATCAAATTGCTAATGCATCTTCATACGAAAACTAGAAAAATCGAATTGCTAATGCATCTTCATACGAAAACTAGAAATATCAAGCTCTGAATGTAAAAACCAAAAAAAAAAAAAAAAAAACCTGGAATTGGAGATGAGCCATCAATGTTCAATGTTGCCTGATCTTTTGCCTCATCAATGTTCAATTCTGCCTGATCTTTTGCCTCATCAATGTTCAATTCTGCCTGATCTTTTGCCTCATCAATGTTCAATTCCGCCTGATCTGTTGCCTCAACAATGTTCAATTCTGCCTGATCAATGTTCATGTTCAATTCTGCCTGATCGGTTGCCTCATCAATGTTCAATTCTGCCTGATCTGTTGCCTCGTCAATGTTCATGTTCAATTCTGCCTGATCAATGTTCATGTTCAATTCTGCCTGATCGGTTGCCTCCTCCATCAACGAAATCAAAATTCTGGTCAAGAAGAAGAGCTCAATCATAGTGAATCAAAGATACTAAGAAGAAGAATACGATTTCAATCAGAACGAGCAATCAGAGATAGAAGTTGGGAATGAAGAAAAGGAAGAAAACAAGATAACATCAGTTAACGCAGTTAAAAAAAAAAAAAAAAAAGAAAAAAAAAAGTGAAAAGAAAAAAATTAAGACAGCAAGAAAACGACCCTGTTTTGGACCAGGTCCACCTTGTAAGGTGGACCGTTTTAGGCATTTTGTGCCCTGTTCAGGTTGAGGTCACTTGTTAAGGTTTGAGCCATTGGTCCCTCCCCTCCCTCTTTCCCTCTCTCCAATAAAATAACATATTTTTTATCAAGATGAGCAATCATTGATCGAATAACCAAAAAATTGATGGTAATTTTTTACTGCTAATAAGTCCATAACCAACCTAAACAAACAAAGTAAACAATCTAACCACAAAATAATAATAATAATAATAAACCATCACACAACATGGTTATTTCTCAAAGTAAACAACAATACAAACAATGTACGGTTATTTCTCAAAAATTTATATAAAATAATAATGAACCATTGTCGATAACACAGTGTCCAGACACTACAATTAATTTCCAAACCCAGTAACGACATAGTCCACAATTAATTTTCAAACAATTGAAGCCAGTGACTATTTTGTATGAAATACTTTTAAAAATTTAATGTATGAAATCCGTAGCAATGGTGAAATTCCTTTTAATTTTAGATGTAAAAATTTACCTGGAGTGAAGTTGCAGCCGTTGAGTCCTGTACTGACCGTCAAAGGATGTGAGGAGCGATCGAGCGAGGGAGCGAGGGAGCGAGGGCGCGAGGGAGTGACGGAGTGTTGCCGACGGCGAAGGGCGTGAGGCTGTGAGAGACGACAGACAACTGACGAGGGCGGACCGCCGGACTGAGGAGGAAGAGACAGAGAGCGGTCGTCGTGGAGAAGGGCTGAAGGGGTAGGGCTAATTGAATTTTGCGTTTGCATTGCGCTAAAAGAATTTATTTTGGGCTATTGGGAGTACTGGCAGTACAATATTGCATATTGGGCTTGACCTATTGGTCCAGAAAGAAAGATAGGGTAACAATTTTTATTAATCTTTTGAGTTTTTTCCCAAAATGGTCCATCGACTATTGCTCATTCTCAATTTTGCATTTCGACTTTTAATTGCACCAAATTTAGTCCATCGACTTTTAAAAACTCACTCAATTTGATCCTCTGTTAAGTATTTCTTAAACTCAGTGTTAAAATGGAGGGCATTTTCGTTCTTTTACCTATTGTACACCAAATATACACTGAGAAATAGTCGAAGGACCATTTTGGGAATAGTCAAGGGACTATTTTGGGAAAAACTCGTTTTTTTTTTTTTATTTCATTGTGTATATTTTCATTTTTTTAGACTCTATAAAATTAGAATAGTTGTAAATTTTTTTCACAAATATAAATAGTTAAAATCCCACAATCCCACCTCAAAATTTTTTTAACTTTCTATATAGACTTTTTCCCTATGTCTAAATATACAAATTTTACCTTCTGGTTATAGACGAGAAAAACTTACCTTGAAATTCAAATTACATGTTTGGTAGAGAGAAAAATAATTATTGGGAATGAGACAGGAAGGTAAGTTTTTCTCGTATGTGACCGAAAGTGTGTGTATGTGTATGTATATATATATATATATATATATATATATATATATATATATATATATATATATATATATATATATATATATATATATATATATATATATATATATAATTGTTGACAAATTTTGAGGTGGGATTGTGATATTTTAACTATTTATATTTGTGAAAAAAATCTACAACAATTCTAATTTTATAGAGTCTAAAAATGAAAATATACACAATGAAATTAAAAAAAAAAAAAAAAAAAAAAAAAAAAAAAACTAGTTTTTCCCAAAATGGTCCCTCGACTATTTCTCAGTGTATATTAGGTGTACAATAGGCAAAAGGACGAAAATGCCCTCATTTTAACATTGAGTTGACGAAAAACTTAACGGATGACCAAATTGGGTGAATTTTTGAAAGTCGAAGGACCAAATTTGGTGCAATTGAAAGTCGGAATGCAAAATTGAGAATGGGCAATAGTCGAGGGATCATTTTGGAAAAAAAAAACTCTTAATCTTTTTTTTTTTTTTTTTGCTATCAGCAAAATCACGGGCACAAAACCAATTTAGTTGACGACTTGGCATGGCCGTGTACTCTCATTAGACGTCAGAAATTCAAAATCTCCTTGTATGCAAAAATCAATATAGGGATAGCAACATGGTGGGGACTAGGATCTTCACCCTTGCCCCATAATTCATCCCTCGTTCCTCGATCCTGCCCCATTTCCCGCTCGAGGATGAGAAATTACCCCATCCCCATCTTGATTAAAAAAAAAAGTATACACTTCCTAATTTTTAAGTATACTATAAAATAATATTTTATTTAAATTATACAATAAATTTAAAAAATTACATATTTAAATCCTAACCTTCAATCATCTCAAATTTAACTCTTATAAAATACTTAAAAACATTAAACAATACTTAAATTCAAAATATTCAAATCTTAATTAATTAACCAAAAAAAAAACCAAAAGTCTAAATTAAATATAGTACATATAGATATATTTCGATCAAGATTCAGGGTTTGGGGTCAGGGGTAAAACCCCTGACCCGTCCTCGCCCCATCATTCGAAAAAAAAAAAAAAAAAAAAAAATCGTCCCTGACCCGTTAGGGTGGTGACTAAGTTTTTTCATTGGAGTCGGGTTGAATTGTCATCCAATAGTTATTGCGTAGTCCATGGTCTACACAGCTATGTGGACTACAATTCATTTTGTATAATTTTTTTTTTTTTACGCAACCTGCTATAACATGTATTTTTATAACTTATAATGTATATTATATTGCCCCAAAGATTTCATTATTCAAACACATAATGTACATTATTTTAACACGTAATATACATTATTTAAACACAATGTACATTATTCTTACTTATGATATTCAACAACGTTATTTTAGACCATGGTCCACACAGCTGTGTGGTTCATAATTTGGCAGTCATCCCTAATGACCAATACTTACCCTTTAATTAGGCCGGACCAGTGTGAACAGGGATTAATTTCGCGACAAATGATGGGAGTTCTATTTCCTGGGAGCCCATGTCATTTTCCTGAGAAGAAAAGAAGTCCAATGATCACTGGTCAACTAGACCCAACCATCACTGCTTTCTCCGTGACCAACAGAGGTGCCTCTTTAATCAATGGCTCCCACTCTTTTGAATGTAAACAACATGGTAAAATTTAGTGTCAAAAACTAAAAAGAGTAGGTAAAAGTGTATTTCAAAGCACAAGAATAAAGGGCACCCTTCTTTCTACCAATCTTTAATTCAAATACAGAAACAATCAAATGCAATGATTAAAGTGAAGCTCAGTGACTTCCAATTCTAAGAGTCAATTGCTCAAATGTTCAAAGAAAAGCAGTGAATAATTCAATCAAAGAAAGTAAACAGTTCCATTCCCTAGTGTATTCAAAGCACAAGTCTCTCTGCTAATACATATACATATTGTATATAACTTAAAGAAACTATGAATATAACTGAGAAGAGAGTGTCACATACTATCAGAAAATATTGTTTTATAGACTTTAGAACTTCACATAAGCTCTGATTATTCAAACAAAAAGGTTCTTCATACTTCATAGTATACAAATCTTGGTCCAAATCTGATTCTGTCAAAGTTCTCATTAATACTCGTTCATTCAATAAAATCCAGCAACTAATAAGCACTTCTGTCTACCTGTTTTAACAGAAGATACAGAGAAACAAACCAGCATCTCCTTGTTAGCTTCAAACTATTGTAAGTGGATAAAAAAATTAAGTTCACTGATTAATCCCGCCCTTGTTGGAAGCTCCATTCAATTGAAAACAATTTCTGCACCTCTGTTAATGTAATTAAGACAATCAAATGGAGAACAGGTTGAGTGGATGTGATTAGGGGACATAATATTTCGCTAGCAACTTCAGTAAGCTATGCAGAATGCCGGCTTAGTCATGTGTTTGTGAAGTAATCTTAACAAACTTTACTAAGCTTTACAACTTCCTTGAGCAACTGACTCACGGATGTCTTAATATCCTCTGGCACGGCCAACTCTTTAGGTACCGATTCCAAGCCGTACGGAGTGATAGTCCTCATTACGTGATGTAGTTGAAGCGTTTTGGCATTACTGTTCCACATACGCTGATTCACAAACTTACATGAGTCTCTTAAAGCACATTTTCCGCAGACCTGACATAATAAGAGCAAATAAGAACTAAACTAAGCAAGCAAGGGGAAAGTCTGAAAGCGTGATTAATGGTATGAAAGAGAGGAGTCACAGCAAGTGTACAAGGCACCCAAATCATGTACTCCATGTAGGACATGATCACATGAAGCAAGAATTAGTTTCCATGGCCTAATGGGAAAGGAGTAATGGCCAAACTTTTGAGTGTTATTGTATCCTCTATAAATGATATAACAGATCTCGAGGAAATGAAAGTGGTTTAGAAAGGAACCATATGAAGTAGACTCACAGTGTCTTCCTGAATCCTGAAGAAATTTCGCAACATTTTGGCAGAATATACATGTTTCTTCACAAGAGAAGGACAACCAAAAAGTGCCACCTTCTTCAAGTCACTAGCAGAAAGCCATCTGAGCAAACAATGCACAAAAATGAGTATCAAGCAAGACAACATAAACTGCTTCAACTGTGCCATAAAAGGGAACACAGTCTGTAACAAAGTGAACTTTAACAAAATGATGAAAAAAAAATGCATAACATTGAATGCTCATCCTTGAAATAATTGGGACTAAAACCTTAACCATGAAAAAAAAAAAAAGAAAAAAAGATCATTACTCGGCCACGATACTTTAAAAAAAAAATACAAGTACCATCATTTTTCTGAATTTATCAATGAGATCAGGAGGGAATAAGAAAATCTGTAAAATGGGAGTACTGCATTTCTTGGTTTGTTCAGCTCATTAAGTTCAAGTCTGCTACTTCAACTTTTTTGGTTAAAATCCTTGGTACAAATTTCATGGGAATCTAAAAATTGATCATTTTCCACTGTTATGGGCTTAAATCCTAGTTGTACTTCAAGCTCAAGTCCTCTGACTGTGAAATTTAACTCCAATTCTCAGATAACTTTCAGCTCAACAGCTCAATCAAATACCAAATGAGCAATAAATTTATGTATGCATCCCTCCATTCAACATAAAGAATTCGTGTGAAAACAAATATATAAAAAATAATTTTACAGTTAGCAGACTGAAGACTTCCAGCACATCAACTTGAAAGATAGTTAAATACATTGCAGCTATCAACAAAATACATATTCAACTAATGTCAAGGGACTTGAAGGCAAGATAATCTACATAATACGCAGCACAAGATCATGCAGACACATAAATATAAAAAAGTTAAAAAAAAAAAAAAAAAAGTTTAGTTCTCACTTGGCAACCCCCTGATTATCATTTGCAAACTCCTCGGCAGCATGCTTGATGTAATGGCGGGCATAGCTATCCTCAAAGCAAGTAATATCAAACCTATTCTTTCGCAAAAAGTTTGCATCTTTAAAGTACCCTTCCTCATACAAGTGAGTCACAAGCATAACCATATCAGGGGATAGCCCCTTGCCAACCATCAGATCCTCTTCCATGGAAGCCTGTGACGTTTTTAACAACTTGCCATTTTTGGTTAACTCATTTGCAAACAATTCGTGCAAGCTCTTGGGCTTAGAAACATTCACCGTATCTTCATCAGCCCTTATAGCCTTCTTTATCTCCTTTGCTTCCCTGTCCCTTTGCTTATTCTTCTCCTCTATTTCCTTCTTTCTTTTCTCTTGCAAAACTCTCACTTCTTCTTCCAACTTTCTCAGCTTACTCAGATGATCATTCTCCTCTATATGTTCCGTGCCTGGACGAGTTTCGAGAATTCCAACGGCCTCTTTGAAGTAAATATCCAATGGCTTCTTATTCTGTTTCTGGCCGTTACTAACATCGATATTTTCTAAACCTGTATCAACTTTGGTGCTGAAAAAATGGGAAATGGAAAGCAGTCTTCGAGAAATTACTGAAAGGCATAGAGTTTGGTCAAAATCCAATGAAATCAAATGGGATGGAGCAATAGGGTTTTGGAGCTTGTGAACTGTGAAGAGACTCTGAGCACGAAGGTTTCTCAGCAGTGTGGCTGCTTCTATTGCATTTCTTAGAGCCATGGAAGATCGCCGGAGTGGGAAAAGATTTTGCAGTACTGTAGCTGACTCTGTTGTAGCGGTGAATAACTGACCAAAAGACCGAAAAACCAATCAAAAATTTTTACATTCATAACCGACCGAAAAACAGACCGTTGGTTTTGGTCGATTCTGTCGGTTACCGAAAAACCAAACAAAAAAAAACACATTATTCAGAAAGTAATAGTTCATAACAAAGTAACAAACTGTCCAACATATTGTCTAGAATTTATAGTACATATCATTTCAACATCCTAGAATTTATGTGAATATTATCTGAAGCTAGAAAGCCTTTTCTATTACTAACATACCGTCTTTTATCCTTAATCATACATAGGTAATATAAAAACTCAAAGCAGAGAGAAAGTGATAGTCTAAGTGCAAATAATGAGACATTAGGTTCCTTATATCTAAGGATGGATTACAATTTCCTGTACAAGTTGCAGTTGCATCATAGCAAGGATAACTGGACAATTAAGTTCTTGTAGCAAGAGTTTGGAATGAACAATATAACTATGCCCAAACCTCAGCCAAAAGAAATGAACTTAAAACTTTATTCAGTAACTTTAATACAACCCTCAAGAACTGAAACAAAGCTATTCCATTTTTTGTAAAAGAAGAATAAATATCCAGTAGTTATAAATGTTTTAAATGGACAAGAAAATTTCAATTAGAGTGAAACAGCAGCTAATATGAAATTTAAATTCTCTTCTCCTTTCTGTTTTTCTAACTTTCTTCTAATACTTGTAATATGCATACATTTTCTCCATTTCACTCTATCAACACAAAGAACAACACACAGACATAACCAAATCATTTATTTGACTCTCACAGAGCATTAATCCAAACAAAGCTCTTCCATATTTCATTTTTAACTTTCATAACGGACCGAAATGGACAGAAGGAAATGATATAACCAACCGAAAAAACGAACAAAAACACATTATTCAAAAAAGTAATACTCCATAGTTAATAACATAGTAACAAACTGTCCAGAATTGATTTTTCAAACTCTTTTGGTTATTTCTCGAAATTTTACATAAAATAATAATAATAAATAATTAATGAGAATACAAAAAAAATTAAACAGAATAACGCATTTCCAAACTCCAAATTCATTTTCATACTGTTATACGAAATTCATTTTCATAGCAGATTCACAAAATCACAGCCCTGAGTGTAAAAATTTACCTTGAGTGTCTACTGAGGTCCGTTCACCGAGGTGGGGGATTATGCGAGTGTGCGACTGTGTCTGTGAACTAGGGCTAAGAGAGGCGAAGAGTTCAGGTAATGAGTTGAGGGCTTGAGGCTTGAGGCTTGAGAAGTGAGACATCGGCACAGCAAGAGCCGAGTGGTAAACTCACGAAAGTTGCGTCGTCGGCGTCATCAGCTCGTCGCGATGCTGTCGAACGAGTATAAGGCTCTGTTTGGTTTCCAAGTCTTTGGATGCAATTGAAAAAATACGAAAAACATTTTTTATTTATTGAAAAAAAAAATTAATTATTTTGATAGAAAATGATTTTCGTTAAAATTGAGCGGAAGTCATTTTTTGCCACATTTAAAATAAGATTTTTAGTGGAAATTATAAATCTGGTTTCTGTCGGAAATCAGTTTTGTTTCATTGTTTTTTTTTTTAATTTTTAATATTATTATAAATATTTTTATATTCTAAATAAAATATTTAATTATACAATTTTAATTTTTTTCAGAAAATGCACCAAACACACAAAAAACAGTTCTTTGATGTGCAGCCAAACACGAAAAAGAAAAATGTTCTCTAGAAAATAACTAATTTTATAGAAAATATTTTTCAGAAGTCATTTTCTTACTTTTCAAACGGACCCTAAAAGGAATTAAGGGTGTGTTTGAACCCGGAAATCGGGTTTCTAGTGTTTGTATACGCTTAGAAAATCTAATTAACGGAAAATATTTTTTGTTTATTGGAAAAAAATATAATTGGAAAAAAATCTTTATATTTGACGGAAAATGACTTCTGCCAATTTCATTTTCCAGACCAAGGCTAACGACGATGAAGACTTCCAAACCAAGGCATCGACGAACGCGGTAAACAATCGTGTTATTTTAAAAAAAAAATTACTCCGTAATAAATATTATTTTAATACTATTATAAATATTTTTATATTTTAAATAAAATAATTAAAATGTTTAATTATACAATTCTAATTATTTCCAGAAAATAAACCAAACACTTCAATACAGTTTTCCAGAATGTAATCAAACACTAAAAAGAAAAAGCAAAGGGTCAAATAGGCTCATGTACTAACATTAATTGTTCATCTAGCCCCATGAATTAAAATATGGTTCATCTAAATTATTATACTCTCAATTATTTTTCATCTAGCATTTTTAGCAATTTATAACAAGTAACCCATCTAATTTGCTTACATGGCAAAATAAAATAAAAACAAAATGATGACATATTATTTTTTCATCTAACTTGCTATTTTTGTCACTTTTTTTTTTTTATATAGAAAAATTCAAAATTTTTTTTAATGTATTTTTGGATTATGTTGATTTCTGATATGGTTTGAAAGATTTCAACTACTGCTCTGTTGCGAGTGTTGAGTGTGAAAACTCGTAAAGGTATTCTAAGCGGAATGCATCCATGCATGTTGTTGTTACCATAAATTTGCCCTGCAAAATGTATATTTTTGTCGTGGAGGGGTACCTCATCGCCTTAAAAAACATGGCCGCTTCCATCGGGGACATATGACAGTCTCATTTCTTCGTTGTCTATCTCTTTCTCTTTTCAGTGTTGCACATTATATCTCATAACGCGAAGTTCCTTAGCTTCTACTTCAGTCAGATTGTTGCTGCAACCAGTAAATGCAAGCATGTCATTTTCGTATCTACACTCAAAGGAACTCGGTTAATTAAGTTACATCTCAAACATTAAATCAATAGTCGTGTTAGTTATTATACCTCAAATGAAGAGCAATATACAGATCATCGTTGTCCCTTAGTCTATTAACCATCTCCTTTCCAAACTCTTCAATCTCAGGTATGTACCGAAGAGTCTCATAAACGCACCCTCCAAAACTAAAATACGAACCAATGCCAATGCCAATAAATGAGTTCAAAAACCACAAGAGCGGTAACATACTTATTTCACAATCGATGGAAAAATAGATTCACTGTTTTATGGAAAATTCATAGAAGAAATCAACATAATCTAGAAATACGTAAAAAATTAAATTTTCCTGCATAAAAAAAAGACTAAAACAGCAAGTTAGATGAAAAATATAACATGTCAGCATTTTGTTTTTATTTTATTTTTCCATGAAAACAAATTAGATGGGTCACTTGTTAGAAACTTGCTAAAAATATTAGATGAAAAATAATTGAGAGTATAATAGTTTAGATGGACCATATTTTAATTCATGGTGCTAGATGGACAATTAATGTTAGTACATGGGCCTATTTGACCATTCTGCCAGAAGAAAAATATTTTTTGAAAAATGAGTAATTTTTCAAAAAACATTTCAAAAGTCATTTTCCTACTTTTCAAACGGACCCTAAAGGATTCAATCGTTATGCTGTGGAACCGTGTCCACCTTGCAAGGTACACACGGTTCTATGTTCATAATTACTGGAGTATATGTTCATAATTATAAAGTTATATATTCATAATTTTTGAACTTCATATTCATAATTATTGAACAATATATTCACAATTACATAACTCTATGTTCATAATTACTGAACTATATGTTCATAATTATAAAGCTATATATTAATAATTTTTTAACTTCATATTGAATCTTTATATTCATAATTACATAACTATATGTTCACAACTCTATGTTCATAATTATAGAACTATATGTTCATAATTTTTGAACTATATATTCATAACTAGTAGTTGCACCCGTGCGGTGCACGGCAATATGTATACATAATTATAAAAAAATAAATGGATAGCGAAGTTGTTGAAATTTTATTAAACATTATTGAATACTTCTCTGTATACCCCATTTGTAGTGGTTTTTTTTATTTTACATTTTCATCCCAAATAAGAATTTTTAATCCCTTAGGATTACTCACTCTTGACACTGCTACATACAATTGACCATGATTAAAAACCGGTCTTTTCAAAAACAAACCCACGTTGGAGAGTGTCTGGCCTTGGCTTTTATTTATTGTCATTGCATATGACAACATTAGTGGGAATTGCTTCCTTTGGAACTTAAAAGGCAATCTTGGATCAGAAGGTGTTAAGGACATTCTTGGAATTAGGACTTTTGTACCGGCACTTGCACCGCATAGTATTTGAGCTTCTAACACATGATCTGCCAACTTTGAAATTATCATTCTTGTACCATTGCACAACCCCAATGAGTGATCAATATTCCTCAGAAGCATAACTGGAGACCCAACTTTTAGAGTCAATGAGTGATTTGGCACTCCTGAACACCTTAATCCATTTAAAAATTCAGGAGTGTGCAAATCAGCAAGCATGTCAACATTTGAATCTGATTTACAGACCGAGTCACAACTGAGATACGTCCTTCCTTCGGAATTATTGTAGCCATTCATGTATTCATTTACTGGATCCACAATATCCAGTGTTGGTGCCAAAATAACACGATCTTTTAGATATTGAATATCACTATGACCTCTGCGAAACATAGGGAATATGCTATCAACAATGGTAGAAATTGGATCCTCAACACAAGTTAGCACAAATTCTTCAGGAATATTTATCTCACATTCTCCATGCAAAGACTCACCAATTGTTCCATCACCGATATTAGCAATCCACTTTGAAAATTTTTCAATCTGTTGAACATCAGTTTCTGATTGCAATGACCTTAGTCTGAGATTCTTTGTTAGCCTAAATACTTTACAGTTTCTCCAAAGATATGATGCATTGATACTTGCTCCAACAATATCTTGCCTGGTGCCCTTTGGAATGACTGGTAGAATCTGTCTGAAATCTCCACTTAACACCACGGTTTTCCCACCAAAAGTCATATCCAAGCTATTTTGATTTTTGGCACTCATGATATCTCTCATACTACGGTCTAAAGCTTCAAAGCAAAACTTATGCATCATCGGTGCCTCATCCCAAATGATCAACTTACATTGCATTAACAATTTTGCCAAATGACTGCTTTGGCTGATGTTGCATGTTGAATCTTCATTAACAGCAATTGGTATTGAAAATCTAGAATGCGCAGTTCGACCTCCTGGTAATAGAAGCGATGCTATACCACTTGATGCCACATTTAAAACTATATCACCCTTTGACCTTAAAGCAGACGACAATCTCTCAATAATAAGAATGTTTTTCCAGTTCCACCGTATCCATAAACAAAAAACAGTCCTCCAAGATTGTTCTCAGCATCTTGCAAAACATTTCCATATATAGCCCTTTGCTCTTCGGTGAGTTGATGCACCAATTTTTCATTCTCTTCCTTCATGACATTAATATCATATGTTAATTCCTCTTGTATCATACGATTGGTGGTTCTATCATGAATCTCTAAATCCGGTATTGGCATCAACGGAAAGTCTTTCAAACTCTTTCCAATAGCAGAAAGTATTATTTCTATCTCGCGAAGTGCAAAATTCTTTTTCTCATCTTCAGATAAAATCAAATCTGTGATAATATAATCAATCGCATATTTTAAGTATGTGTATACAATAAATCTGTACAAAGTGAAATTACAAATATAAAATTTTACCTGTAATCCCCAATTAAGCTCTAATTTTGAATTGTGCATCCTCAGCCAAATAGTGCCACGCAGCTTCCCACACAACTTCAGGTTTAGCCATTGAGTTTGACATTAATAGTGTGACAAACAATCTTCTCAAATTAACATCGGTCGCCCATTGACTTGCTTCTTCTATCGCATAAACATATTCCCTATCGTCGTCTACTAATCCCCTGGCAGAACACGCATCCCTAAAAGAATCATATTGCACACCATCTACTTTTTTTATGTCCAAAAAACTCGTGGGCCCTTTTACTTTATTCAAAAGACATCTCAAATAAAATATCTCCCCTGTACCAGGTGGCACATAGAAAAGTCTACCGATGGCAAATCCTCTTTTCCTTGGTTGCCATTTCCTAACATCTTTCTTCCATACAAATTTAGTGGGCATTTCGGCATATGTAAGTTGTTTTGCATCTGGGTAGGTTTTATTTGCCTCAAACCATTCTAAGAACATGCTCTGCAAAATTGTTGGACGGCTTAGTATGTTATCAACAGGATCGTCATCTGCGAATATAACACTTTGTTGATTGGGCAAGTGAAAGCTCAATCGCTCAACAGATGGTGTCCTTAACTGTATATCAAATCCAAACAATCGCCAAGCTGCTTCACACGGAGAAATATACCGACAGTCATAGAACATATTGATTTCATCGATCACTTTTGGACTTTCGTCATCGCTGTTGGATTTGTAAAACTCTGCGGTAACCCTATCA